TCTCTCTCTCTCTCTCTCTCTCTCTCTCTCCAGCAGAAGATATAATCTGGTGAATAATGAGTAAACCAACGCGTATGCCGTACTTCAATCAGGCCGGGGGTAAAGAGCAGATGGTTTTGGCCGAGGGTTATCTGCCCACCGATAAGATCTTCAAAATAGACCGCTATCTGCGGTACTTCGGAATGTTGTCCCAAAGCATTGAGGACTACCTTCAGGGCAACATTCGGGGAAAGATGAAGCGCCCGACAAAACGTATGTACGGTTTCTCTGTCCTCGTGCTGATGACGATAGTCTTCGCTCGCAATATGTTATTGGCTTTCGTTGACGACCCGGAGATTCGCAACATCTTAGGCGAAGCGGTGTCCGCCCGACCGGCCAAGCAATTCACTATGGCTTTGACTCTTTGGTCCATTTACTCCTTCCTGTTGTCGCGACTCTTCTACAGAGCGGAGAAGAATCGCTGGAATTCATGGCTCTCGCCGTTCGCCGTATTCAAGGGCTTCATTCCGCCCTCTATTATGGGTTTAGACACTGGAATGACTGACCACTGGTTCGCCAAAACCAAGAAGACTTTGGCTCAGATGGCGCTCTTCACGAACATCCGGGCCGTATTGGGTTCAATGATGTTCTCGTGGGTCGCTTACGCCAGATTCAGGTCCAACTCTGTCAGTCAGTCCTATACTATCCTCTGGGCTGTCATTCTGACCGTTTGGGTCTACTATTGCTCGGCCTATGCCTACATAGCTTACGGTCACTTCATTTCGTTGGCTTATTATTTCCGTATGCGTTACCACAAAGTGAATGAAGACATCGAATCCATTATAGCGCCGGACAATCGCATGAAACCCAACGAGCGGTGCACTACTCTTCAACACGTCCTCAATGAACACAATGAGCTCTGCATTAAAATCAAGCGTAAGTTGTGTTTCCATTAAAACCTAATGGAAAACCACTCGAAACAAAACTCTTAAGCTCTTAATAGCAGTTAAAACTTAAATCTCTTATTTAATAACTAAATATTATGTTTAATCACTTAATGTTTAGCTAATAATTGTATGTAATTGTAAAGTATTTGTATAATTATTTTTACCCTTTGATACAGAATATAACATCTTTTGGGCGAAATACCTAATGTACACATATTTCATGTTTGTGGCGGTTATCTGTTACACAACATTTCAGGCATTCTTCACATACAACCGAACACTGGTTAGGGCTGTCATGTTCTCTCTCACTCTGGAGGCCGCGTATCTCATAACAAAAGTATCGGTCGGCGCTTCACGTATGGCTAATGAGGTACTCAATCGCTTATGGCTTTAGCCTATGTTTATATGCGGTGCGGACGTGTCTGGCATTCATATGAACTCATATTTAATTTCATAATTTCTATTTCAATATCTATCCATTAATTATCTTCAGGCACACGCATCCTATGCCCGGCTTATTAGAGTCACATTCGATAAATATCCAGTCGAGCTCCAGATTCAGGCAAGTTTTCAAACACCTCTCAAACTTCTCGTCAGTTGCCCTTCTCTTCCTCTCCTTCTCCCTCCTCTTCACTCACTCCTCAGTCATTCATTAGACCGAGAAGTGCGGCGAAAGCTGTGTTTTCTCTCACTTAACGTGAAATATTATTTTTGTATATTTCCTGTGACTTCTCTTTACTGGTGTTTGATTTGTTATAATTTTGTTGTTGTTGTGATTATTAGCTCCGTATGTTTATCCAGCGACTATCGGGCCCTACCATCGGTTTCTATTGTCTCGATCTCTTTGAGATAACGTACTCGACTTATGCCTCTGTAAGACATTTAAAAACTGATATACACTGTTCACAATCACTACAGCCTTGACTTTAAGCAATTCATGACTTTTACAAAAAGGGAAAAAACTCTTTTATTTTTGTTTGTGATTTTGTTTGTGTTTAAAAATAACTCTCATTTAAATTTATTCCGTTTTGCCATTCAATCAAAGCTTTAACGCATTTGTATAACGAATTACTCGTACTTTTTTAAATGCCATATAAAAAACTATTGCTAAAAGTCATCGATCATTAGCTGAAGAAAACTTATGCATAAAAATAGAAAATAATTTTATGCAATAATAATTAAAATGAAAATAAATTGACAGATAATCGCAGCGTTGGGCCAAAACTTTCTACTTATCGTTGATTTTGTGCGCTCTTATGCCGAACTCAAAGAGGAACAACAGGCCAGCGATCTCTCCCTTCCCGAAGTGTTTGATGTCATCACTAACTCTACCTTTGATTTGAATCCACTGTCGCTGACCAGCGGTGCCCTTCGCGGAGCCTCTCCCGAGACTATTTCAGGTAAACATCCAATTGTTTTGTTTGTTTTTTAATTTATATTATTGAATATATTTTGCAAATAATTTATACCGTGTTTTCATGTGTTGCGGATATTAGGATAAACTGCGAGAAAAACTATTGGTTTATATATTTTGCTTATTATTCTCATTCATATAATTGACATATTATTCTCGATAATAGTGTTATTCAAACGACAAAATTATGATTTCAAATAGATATTTATAAATATGACTAAAATTACTGTTAATCTCACAAATCATATCAATTTTGACGGAAAATCATTTATCAGTCGATTTTTAAGGCATTCAAGAAAAAATAGGTAGAATTTGATTACAAGTTCTGTTTGAATGTCAGGCTTAAAAAAAGCTGTTTTTCTCTCATTTAACTCTCAAATTTCTTATCTCTTGTGTCCAATAAGTTATTTACTACGAGATCCTAAACGATAGTCCAGAAAATCCAACTAAAACATCACCAATAATAATAAAAATGACACAATTTTTAGGACTAAATTTAATTAAAAGCATATCATTTGGCAATATGTGTGCATTTGGTGCTTAATTAATGGCTTTCAGTAGTGAACAAAAATAGTCAGACAGTTAGGCAATGGGTCAGTAAGTTGTTAACTATCATGTTATGTGTCATCCGCTGTCATAAATTGTCTGATTAGTGGCCTTTTGGAGGGTTTGGAGCACCAGTTCTTCTAATTTAATTCAATTGCCAATTAAAGCCTTATTTCTCATTGAGTTTTTAGCAAAAGTAATCCCAAAAATAATAAAAATATCTATAATTATAGTCACAGGTCTTTAGAAAATCTTCAAATCTCAATATTTTTTCTTTTTAAGATTTAAAATCGGTTTAAAAAGGGTTTTAAGCATTAGTTTTCAATTCATATATAATTTGAGCTCAAATTCCTAACGATAAATAAGGGTTTCAGAGATGACATCAAAAGGGCTATAAATGCTTACATTTATTGCTATTTTATTATCGATTCCATAATAAAAAGCTTAAGATTATTAAGATATACCGAAAAGCGATTGTTTAAAAACCTATTATTTATTTCATATCCCACTTGTATTATAGGAAATATTTTTCTAAATAACAAAACACTAATTTTCTAAATGTATTGCATATCCAGAGAAATGTTATCGTAACTAAAAATTCCGATATTAATGATCACTATTAACGATACGACTATTGAGAGACCAAATTATATAAATTTTTGTGTTGTTATCTAGAAGTCAAACGAAATAATTTATATGTATTTCGCAAAATATGCTCAGTTTTGGCCATAAACCTACCACTCATTCATTTACTATCATAAATATAGCGCTGAATACACTACTAATGTAATTGTAATGCAATGCAAACGTTAAGAAAGAATTTCAAGTTTTTTTTTCTAATTAACGTTTAAATTATATTTAATTATTTTAATCGTATTTCTCTATCTATTCTCTTAGTTGTGTATAAATAAAATATACACTTCTTTTTTGACTTAAAACTTCAATTTTGATAAACATTTTTCAGAGTAAAAATGATTACTATTTTTGTGTATAAAATAATTCAAAGGCACGCTTTGATTGCTGTTTACGTATAAACGTTAAGTGAAAAATAAATTATCAAAAAATTGTTACATTTTTCAGTTACCTTTTTCTAAGAGAGAAAACTATCAAAAAATTAATTAACAAATAAAATGTTTTATCGATTTGTTTTGTGAAATAAGAGTTTTATTTATTTTTTGACACAAAAAAGTGGCTTTAATTTACATAAAAACT